CACACACACACACACACACACACACACACACTCTAACACTGTCCTGCTGTGTCTGTGGTTCAGTAGCCTGTGATGGTACTACATTGAGCTAAAAATGCTTTCTTCTATATTTTTTTGGGTTTAGGATTTTTGATAATAAAGTCATATCCAGTGTTCCCTGTAATGTGTCACGTGACCCGGCCATGCAAGCGCGCGAGGAGCATCCCCCCCCCCCCCCCCAAGAAACAGCTGGATCCCGGCACAGCTGGATCCCCGGTGGAAGTGGAGGTGGGTGTGGCCCCCTAAATAAAGCTGGATCTGTCCGATCCACGTGGGTCTGACCCCTCGGACCCGTCACCACACACACGCACACACACACACACACATCGGGACTGTGGGGGGGGCTGTTTCGCCTCGGCTCAGTTTCACGCGTCACAGACGCTGAGCGTCCTCGTTTAAGAGAGAAACACCTTTGGGATCGTGTTCTGCCCCGCGTGGGGGGGTGGTAGGTGGGGGGGGGGGGGGGGGGGGGGTCCGTGGAAGTGGGGTCTGCGTCCCCCGTCCTGCCCCTGTGATCCGGCCATCCAGCAGAAGCTCAGAGCAGGTTTGGTTGGAGCGGCTGTCATGACGCAATGATGATATCTGCGGGGGAGGGAGGGGCTACGGGGCGCGGGAGCGCGCACGCACGTACACACGCACACACTGACAGACAGACAGACAGAGGCCCGCTTCGGGGATGATGGAGGACGCGCTGGAGGCAGCCGGGAGCAGCATCTCTGCAGGAGGCAGGTGAGGGCCGCGTTTCACGGGCAGGGCCACGGGGGGGGGGGGGGGGGGGTATTTTTCCGGACACGCGTGTCCGTGGCGTGCAGGCTGCGCCGGGGTGGCGGTGTTTCTGGCTGGTCCAGACTCCCATCATCCCGGCGGCCCCGGCCTGCTTCTGCACAGCCCGCGCGCCCCTCCTGGTTTAGCGCATGTGCGCGTGCCGTGGACATCCCACCGACAGCAGGGGGGTCTGTTTTCTGTGCGGACTGGAAAGGAAAAGCAGGGCGAGAATGGCCTCGTTACCCCAATTTAAAGGCCGACAGCGAACGCATCCCCGGGATTTAACGGCCATTCACCGCCGGTTTCTGCAGGGTTTAGGACCAGGCCACAACACACCGTGGGGTAATACACAAAAACACACACACTGTTCGTTTCCCATTAGCCCCAGACTGGAGTTGGTGCATCTCTGACCGAGCACCATGCTGCAAAGTTAACTTCTGGATTTGGTTTGGTTTCTTTTCGCCGGTCCAGAAAACCCGGGAATGCACATGTCCAGATGGACATTTTAGGACGAAGTCCATCCATCCATCCATTATCGTTACCGCTTATTCCCTAATGGGGTCACCGGGAGAACTGAAGCCAGTGGTCAATGGGGAGAGGCGGGGTCACCCTGGACGGTCCACAGTCCATCACAGGGACACACAGAGACACACAAGGACCAACAACCACACACACTCACACTAAGGGCAGTTTGGAGTCCAACCAACCTAACATGCAGGTTTTTGGAGGGTGGGAGGAAGCCGGAGAACCCGGAGAGAACCCACAGACACAGGAGAACATGGAGACTCCACCCAGAAAGGTCCTGGTTCCCCCAGGACTCCAACCCAGAACCCTCTGGTCCTGGTTCCCCTGGGACTCCAACCCAGAACCCTCTGGTCCTGGTTCCCCCGGGGACTCCAACCCAGAACCAGGTGACGGTGCTGACCATCACACCACCGTTCTGCCCGCAAAGCCGGAGTCTCTTTTCCCAAATCCATCCGTCATGGGATGACCCATCTTAGGGATATATCCCAGCTGCCCTGGGGAGAGAGAGAGAGGGGAGAGGACTTCACAGGGCCACACAGAGACACACAACCTGGGGAAATGGACCCTGGCATGCGTGTTTTTGCGTGTGGTGGGACAACAACTTATCAATGCAAAAGGATTAAAGGACATTTCTCCATTTCTGCCACCCAATCGTGCTTCTTTAAGGGAGAGTCCTCCCACAAACGGGGGGGCTACACGTCCAGAGTGTCTCACTCTGTGCAGACTCCTTAGTTTCTGTCTGTGGTCACTGGCGGGGGCTTGGCTGGTCCTGCTCTTCCAGAGAGAGCCTGGCGGGCTTCGGCTTTGGCTCAGAGGAGGCGGTCATCCGGTGGCCATCCCATCACGTGTCTCACATTAAAACGATCCCCTCGAACACAAACGCTGACCGAATGTCAGAGGAGTCAGATGACCATCACACGCTCCGCGTTTATGTCACTGAAATCCAATTTTCCATCCGATGGACTCTCAAAAGCGTTTCAAAAGTGGAACTGTTTTTCTTCGAGGGCCAGTTGAATAAGTCCCTTTCACGTTTCTTAGACATTGTTTAACTGGAGACGAGACTCTGACCGTTCAGGGAGCACGCCAGCATGCAGGTCACCAGTAGGACAGGTATCTCCCAGCCTTCAAAACAGAGCAGCTCAGACCAGACTCTGAAGTTATTTACAGAAGAACAACAATTCCCACCAAGAACAAGTACTAGGAGACACAGGGAGGGAAAAACTTCCCTTTAACAAGCAGAAACCTGGAGCGGAGCAGGTGGGTGAGGGGGGGGGGGGGGGGGCGAGAGACAGAGAGGGCAAGAGAGAGAGAGAGAGAGAGAGAAGGACAGAGGGAGGCAGACTACAGTAACACATAGACTGGATGAAAAATGGTAAAGATATTGATAGTAATGATAATGATAGCAGTAATAACAGTGGCTGTAATTGTAGCAGAGTGTGTGGGGGAGGAAATTCAGGCGACGTTGTTTCTGAGAGTAGGTATTGTAGCAAAAGCATATTTGTAAGAGCTTCTTCCAGCCTGTTAGGGGGTCCCCTTCGTGTATGCAAATGGACTGGAGCTCTGTCTGGGTGGGGGAGGGGCAGCGGGGGACAATGAGCCGCAGTGTGTGGAAGCTCCCCCCCTGCACCGGCCGCAGAGCGGAGAACAGATTCCCCTTCAGCCCGGGTTTCCCACCTGTTATTCTGTCCGTTCTGACCCGTTCCCCCGGTATCTGCTCATAAAGAACACCCCCTCAGCATGATGCTGCCACCGCCATGCTTCGCTGTGAGGGGGATGTTCAGTTCCGTACGATGACAGGAGATTCTTCCACATGGTCCACAGCTCCCACGTGCCTCCGGGTTAAGGTTTCTGTTTCTGCCCCCCCGTAAAGCCCTACAGTGTTAAGTGAAACTTCGGGAATCTGGTCAGATTCCTCAGAAACTGGAGGAATCTGACCAGAACTCTGCAGCTTTTTGGATCAGATGGAGGCTCCAACAGAGTTCGGGGGTCAGAACAATAATAAAGTAGCACAGCAGAACAATGATGAGCAGTTTTTCTGGTCCTCTGAAACCGGATGTTGCTCATTTTGGAGACTTTAGGCGTCATTTTGACACTTTAGGAGACATTTTGGTGTCTCGTCTGAACCCAGGACAAGTACTACCATCTCCTCCCCATACCTCTGGACCCTCTACTCCTCTTTCTGCATTTCCTTTTCTCTCTTTTGCTGCCACCACTGACTCTGACCAGGGATTTTCCTCTAGAGAACTTATTGTCATGCTGATGCTAACTGTAAAATTGTGTCTACTTTGTAAGTCGCTTTAGATAAAAGCGTCTAAATGCAGAAACAGAAACAAGAATGGTACATTGGCCCATTAGTGACCACGGACTTGTGGACTGGACCAATTCAAGGAGGCGCCATTAAAAGCCCAAAAGTGTCCAAAATCTAGTTTAGTCTGCCCAAAGCTAGTCAGGTGCTCATAGAGGAACTCTGGTCCTCTAAAAAAAATACCTCACAGTCCCTTTCCCTCTTTGCTCACGTCTCTTTTCTTTTTGTCTTTCAGCCTTAGCCCGGACTAACATGGCCTAAACAGCCCACCAGCACCACTGATTCAACAGGACTGCCATGGACCCCCCCCAGGGGGCCGAGCGTGGCCTGGAGGAGACGCAGGGGAGGGCCGGGGCCCCCCGCAGCAGCCGGCCCCACGGTGACCCCGACCAGCAGCGGTACCCCGGACACCCCGGGGCCAGAGAGGACCAAGCCCGCGGTCAGGAGGAGGGGGGGGGGGGGCCGCAGACCCATGCGCCCAGCCTCAGAGCAGCGAAGGCGGGCAGCCACAGACCGGCCCCCCAGACCGGGGCCCCCCAGACCAGGGCCCCTCAGACCAGACACAGACACCGGCAGCAGAGGAGGACGGACAGAGTCCAGCACGGGGGCTCAAGCCCCCCCCTGAGCCCCCCAAGTGACCAGACAGAGGGGGGCGGAGGCGGTCCAGCGGGGCCTGAGGGGCCGACCCGCGCCCAGGGGCCCCCAAACACGGCCCAGGAAGACCCTCCCCCCCCCTCGCACGCCGTCCCCACCCGACAGCCAGGCTCTCCCCGGGGGGGGCGCGACGGAGAGGACCCCGCCCGACGGCTACTGCACCTACGTCCTGACCCCTGACCAGGGCTTCTATTTCCCCCCGGACCCCGGCGACCGGCCGGGCGCCGCCCAGGACCCGGGCTGTCCCGAAAGCCGGCGGGGGGGCGGCTGGCGGGGGCGGGGGGGGGACCGGCGGCGGCGGGAGGCGGTGGGCTGCCGCCTGCACAACTACGCCGAGCGCTCCGACGGCGAGTCGGACAGCCCCGAGAAGGAGGCCGAGTTCGCCCCCCACCCCCGCGCCGACAGCTGGGACGCCGACCCGGCCCCCGCCGGACCCGGGGGGGGCCGCAGCCCCCCCGAGCCCCGCCGCGGCACGCCGGAAAGAGAAGAGGGAAGAGAAAGCCCCCCGCCACCGGGGGACGAAAAAGCCGCCGGCCGGGGGGGGGCACCCGCCATAGAGCGGGCCACCCGGCCCCCCCAGGAGGCGGCGGCCAGCAGGGAGTGCCAGGGCCAGAGGGAGGGCCAGGGCCAGAGGGAGTGCCAGGGCCAGAGGGAGGGCCAGGTCCAGAGGGAAGCCATAGTGCTGGCCATTAAGGACATCAGGGACGCCATAGAGGAGGTGAAGACCAAAACGGTGAGGTCGCCCTACACCCCCGACGAGCCCCAGGAGCCCATCTGGGTCATGAGGAAGGACCTGAGCCCCGGAGAGTGTCCAGCCGCGCCGTCTGATGGTGAGAATGTGAGTAATGACTATGGTTTATATCGGCGTTGTTAAGTTTTCAGACAAGTTCTCATGTATGTGGGTAAATATACGCAGCAGGACCTCTACAGAGGAGTTCAATGCATTCCAGGACCTACAGTGGGGGAAATGGGGTGGGGTATTTGACCCCTTGCTGATTTTGCAGGTTTGCCCACTTACAAAGAATGCTTATTTTTCCTCATCAGATGGTTATCAATTTTTATAAATTCATATGATGTGATTTTCTGGAATTTTCTTTGGGATTCTGTCTTTCACTGTTAGAATGTACATATGATTAAAGTTATAGATCGTTGCATTCTTTGTAAGTGGGGAAACCTGCAGAATCAGCAAGGGCTCAAATACTTATTTCCCCCACTGTAGGTCCTGGAATGAATCCCTCACTGTACTTCCTATGTTGAAATATTCCTATGTTGGTTCAAATATTCCCATCAGAATACACTGCAATTCGTTCCAAAAGGAATGTTCGAAAAAGATCCATTGATAAAAAGCCCAACGGGGGGCTGGCTGAGAACGAGCGGTAACGATAATGGACGGACGGATGGATGAACTTCTCTCTCTCCACCAGCAGGGGGCGCCTCCGCCTCCATGTTTTTTTTTTTATTGAGAACCCCTTTAAAACGGAGAGTTGAAGTTCCCTCCATCCCTCCCATTTTTTATTTATCCAGAGCGACTTATAATTAATAAATCATTTTTGAATATTCATGATTTATTACCTTAAATCAAGTGGTGTAGTCTTCTGTTATCAGGTTTATCTGACTGTGTCCAAAAGGTTTGGAGCAAAGTTCTGACGATGAAATGGAGCCACCATTTCAGATCATTTCAGAATCCATGTGTTTCAGATATGACACATACGGGGTTAGAAGGCTAATCATCGTTATTCATCCTTTAAATTAAAATGACACGATCACATTTTGAAACATTACTTGAATTTGATTGAACAGAAATCAGTTTGAATTCACCGACTGGATTTCTTTAAAAAGAGCTGACTGGGAGACAGCCTGTAGAATACCTTTGTGTTTGAATGAACACTTTTGGTAATGAAAATAAAGTCCATTTAGTTTGTTTTCTGCTTTGAATAAACAGTTATGGAAGCAGGAAAACCAAACCACCGATCACAGGCTAAGCCCACCTTTTGACCTGCCTATGAGCTTAAGGTAGTCACCACTGAACCAGGCCCTGAACCCGAAAGTACAACTCAGAGGACAAAATTCTAAATAAATGATCTTTGTAAAAACATCAAACAAATGATTACCTCTTAGGAGGAAAGCAGCTGCATGTTCTGTGACTCTCAGGATCAGCGCGTCCCTCCTCCTGATGATTTATTCACCGGACAGAGCCTTTAATATTTGAGGGCGGCTCGGGTTCAGGCTGACCCGCAGTGCTGCTGGCTTTGTGGGGACGCTCGGCCGCATTTCGGCTGTTTCCCAGAAGCTATGGAAAACTACTGGATGTTTCAAGTAGAAAAGCTGGAGGAGGAACAGGCCAGGCAGAAGACCCAAACGGAACAACGGGAACCGAACCAGGTGCTTTTTTTTAGCTGCGTTTGGATACCAAACGCTGCTTCTAACTTCTTCTGTGTTTCTACGTCTTGAGAAATGAGGAATTCCAGTTTAATTCCATTGTTCAATCCTTATCCGTGCGTACAGGAAGTGGAAGGGAAGGACTTCACATTTGTAGGTTAAAGTTTCAATATAATACCTGAGAGTTATTCGCTTTTTCCTCGGTTGTTAGGATGATTTTGTGATCAGTGGTTTCAATAGATCATACGTTTTTTCATTATTTGGTTCCCCAAGTGTTTTTTCTTTGAGATGCCTCTTTCTCACTGGTTCAGGAAGAGAAGGAAACAGTGTTGGACAAACCAAATCCACTTATAACTTATTCAGATCCCTGAAAAATGGTATAAAATAGTATGGCATGATTTCAAATGTGCAGATTCCTGACAGTAGGAAAAGAAACCTCCTCTTCCATCAGTCCTACAGAGGCTCAAACAAACAACTCAAACAGACAGAACAACCAGACAACTTTAGCTTACTATAAAAGGAGACATTTGGCTGTAGACTGGGCCATAAAATTATTGTGATGAATTGCAAGTTTTTCATTTTAGAACAGGGAAGCTGGTGACTGCCATCATCTCTAAGGCCGGGCTCAGTCACCCTGCAAAAGGACAGTGTCCGTTGTCTGCATTCCCACAATAGAAACCCGGAGTCGGGGGTATCGTGTTGCCATCTGGGTTACGCTGACCTTCAGACGCTAGCTGCTAACGTTACACACGCAGCCATGAGCCGGCTCACGTTACCCCGCACGCTACCTTTTTCCAGTGGAGAACCATGACCTCAGGTTTGGAACAACCTCTATTCTTCTTGGCCTTTTTTCGTCAAACTGAGTTGGAGTCATGGTCATGGCTTCAGGAATCCAAGCACATCATCTACAGGAAGCAAAGATGGAGCCCCGATTTCTTCCCCTCACAACCAAAAACTAATTTTTTCTTGAAGACACACCTGAGGTCCAAAGGTTAAAAGTATCCGGCCCAACTGGCTCAGGTTCCTGTTTGGGCAACTCTCAAACAAGATCGGTGACGAGGGGTGTCCGGTGCTCCCTGTAAAGCAGGACTTTGGCCGGCTTTGGTCACACGTGTTTTCAAATGTGAATAGCCATCTTCCAAATCTTTCCTTGCTCATTGGAAGAAGGGCTGGCCAGGTTCTGGGGAAATGAGCTGAAGCTGTCGCAGCTTTGAGAAGGAAATACATCTTTAAGGATGTGAGAGGACTCCCTACTGAGGCAGAGTTGAGGGAGTGTCTTTGCAGAACACACTAAAGTCGGGTTTTGGGTTCAAATACGAGAATCAGTGGCACAAAAAAAACATCTGAGACAGGACCTAAGCATCTCTAGGCATCGGTGTGAAGAAGACTACCCAATGGCTTTAGAAAGTCCCAAAAACCGGAGGCAGAAGAATGCTAAATGTCTCTCAATGCCTGTTGGGATTAAGCTCGCAGGTTTACACTTCTGTGCTACCTCAATCACAAATGATCTTGGGTTTTGTTTCCCCTGCAGGATTAAACATAGTTTGACTGACTGAGTGTTTTTCTCCAGCTCTTGAAAGAGAACGGAAGGTGGTTCCAGCTCTGTGAAGGACTTCTCTCAGCAGCCTCTGGCACCTAGAGGCTGCTGAGCACCTAGCAGCAGGTGTACCCGGCCCGTTCTGAGGAGGTGACCTGATGAATGCATTTCCTCCCTCTGTCTGCAGTCTCCCTGCACAGACTCCCCCTCTCCCCCCCGGGCGGACTCGTCCAGCCGGCTGCTACTGCATGAGGACAGCCCCGAGGCGTCCCACTCCCACAGAGAGGTGGGCTCACACTCCCCGTCACACACAGACCGGCCTCTCTCCTTTCACCCAATGAAGAATCTGTGAACATGTGCTTTCTTCTTTTGTTCCTTTGCTGAATAGTCCAAGAAAGGCCTTGCATCATTCCCCACATATGTAGAAGGTGAGTGTGAAGGATTTTACATCAAAAGTACTGGACGAGTATAACAAATAAACAAAGTAAGGTGAGAATCTCAGCATGAGATGATATGAGATGGAATTTAAAAATTACACTATTCAAAAGGGAAAATAACCAAAGAATGAAATAATTTGGATGAGTCAACTCGGATGTAACTTGTAAGATTCACTTGACAAACTTTGTAACCGGACAGAACTGAGTAAACCTGCGAATGAAAATGAAACACGACGAGCGTTTTGTGGAAATGTTATTTAAAAGCGAAAGTCTGAGTCCATCTGAGGAAGTAAGAAGTAGAAATGGACTAAAAGGGAAAACTTCATGAAGTGAGAGCAGCCAGCACGATCATACAAGTGGTTCATACGACATACCGAGCCCCTCTAAAGTAAAACAAATCATGGTGCATTTTATACCCTATGAGTCTGAAAAGAGACCTAAAGTCTGTCCTTCATCCTGCATCTGCATTAAACAATCCTAGGGACAAAAGATTGCTCGACAAAATATGAGGGGACCTTCTCTGAGACCTTGAAGGAGGAAAGAACCTTTCAAATCTTCAAGTGTGGAAAGTTACCAGAGAGAAATTAAGAAAATGATTCTACATAAAAAGGCCTAAAATGCCCAGAAACCTTAGAGGTGTATGGATGTGTACCTACATGCAGTCTACACATCAGGACGTAATGTGCATTGTACTGAGCTATGATCCTTCACCTCCCAGTGCCTGGACCTTGTGAACCAGAGGACCTGATCGATGGGGTGATCTTCGCTGCCACGTACCTGGGCTCCACTCAGCTGCTGTCCGAGAAGACCCCGTCCAAGAGCATCCGCATGATGCAGGCGCAGGAGGCCGTGAGCCGCATCAAGGTAAAACACACCACACCACGGTACACCAGGATCTGTCTGAACACCAGGCACCAATGGATCTCTGTTTTATATCTCTGTGTATCATTCACACCTCATCTGTCTGTTTGACCAGTTAATTTAACAACTATTATGATTACAATAAGGAGAGCAACAGCAATGATAACAGAAAAATATATATAACATGTTTCTAAAGTACTTTACATGATTGCAGATGAAAAATGAAATTTGTGGTAGCAACAGAATAGAATGAAATTGAGAAATGTTTCAGTGTAATTTAGTGATAAAAAAAATAAGAAAAGGGAAGTAAGGAAGACTCGTCAATAAAATGAGTTTTTAAACAAGCTATGAATGAAAATAAGTGGTGCCCACCTCATCTTCTCAGGTTCCAAAGTCTAAGGCCCCTCCTTTTAATCACTGGTGCAGTGTGGCTGCATTAACGGGTCATACAGGCCAGGCAGACATCTGCATCCAGATGTTGGACACCACTCAGTGCTTCTGAACTGACCCCTCAGACTGTGGTCACCAGCTGGGTACCGAATATGATCATGAGAAAATTAGGTTTTCCACTAAACACGTGCTTCAAAGTTGAAGGAAGTAGCTATTGAGGTTATCATCTGTGACACTCAGTGGATATGCTCAAGCAGACTGGTAGGTTTCTTTTACTGGTTTATTTGAAGTCGGCTTGGGATCTCCAAATCCAGCGTGAAAACTAAATAAAGTTAGCAAACACAAACATAAATGAGACACACAATAACCTGCAGAGAATAGGAAACAATACTTACAAAGCAAAAATACCTTGTTGGCTGCATGCTGCAAGAAAAAGGGAATTATGCAAAATCTTCAAGATTTTCCATAAACGTATTTAGCCTTAACTTCAGCCAAAATCCTTAATAAGGGCTCCATTACTTCTCCCATGAGAGCTCTCAACTTCAAAATAAAAGTGCTCTCTAAACTTCAAAACAAAAGCAAATCCACCTTATACTAAATAATACAATATAAAACAAATACAACTAACATAAATTCCAATCAGACAAGCACCCTTGGAAATAATAACAGATTATAGACCTATAATGCTTGAACATTATGTATAAACAGTATAAATGCAGCCATTACTCTGGGTGTCTCCCGTGCACTGACCTTACCGATGACTATCCCCCTGCTTTCTTTCATGCCTGCCAGGCGGCCCAGAAAGTTTCCCCGACCCAGCCTCAGGTGCAGTGCCTCTCCTTCCCCACGGCTGCCCCCCCCACCTCTGTTTGTGTCTGTGATCCCCTCGTGTTCGTGTCTATCTCCATACCCCCGTTTCCTTTGCCTTCATCAGTTAGCTCCGGGGGGAAAATGTCCTGAACCCCGGATTTAAGCCTCCATAGCTGGAATTGGTGCCTATAGTTTAGATTAGGACTGAGATGAGAGGCCACTTTCAGGTGTGGTACACCTCGAGATAAACCAGGAAACACAACCAGGAACACTCACTGCCTCAGTCAGTTTACACTCACTGTGTAAACTCACTCATGCATGTTTCTGGAGGTGGACTCAAGCTAAAATAAGCCCACACAAACCCAGGAGGTGCTAGAGCAGCCTGAAGACTTACAGGGAGGGATAGGGTTAGAATATGGACACTGAGTAAATGGAGATTCAAATGATTTCCGATGTTTTACTAAAAACACAACATGAAAAACAAAAAAAGAACATGAAATATTTTAGTATTTCATGGGAAAACAGAAGCTTATCTTCTTTTTAACAGCAGTCTCTTAACATCTGGGAACGGAGGTGTACACACTGCTGGAAACTCTCATATCCCACTCTTGTCTGGTATAGTGTTCTAGCTGCCCAATAGTCCTTGGTCACACACTAAGTTTGTAAAGGTCTGGACTGCAGGCAGGTCAGAGAAATATTGGACTTTACTACAAAGCTCCACTATAGGAATGGATGCAGTCTGTGGTATAGCATTACCCCCCCACCCACAGGAATAGCCTACATAATGGGGATTTCTTTGCTCTTTACCCATATCTAAACGTTATTTTCCTTATTGTTATTAGATTTATTGTTTTTCTACGCTACATTATCATACTTACTAATATTTGTGTGAATGTGTTTCATACAACATTGTGAATGTGGTTGTGCAGGCCCTCGAGGATGAGTCTCATCCAATGACTGAGGTGGATATCTTCATCTCCATCCAAAGAATCAAAGTGATCAAGAATAACTCCCAGGTAACCACTCAAACGAAACATCGCTGCTCACCCATACACACCGTATCACACACCGGATCACACACCCGCTCACACACACACCGGATCACACACCAGCTCACATACCGGATCACACACCAGCTCACACACCGGATCACACACCAGCTCACACACCAGATCACACACCCGATCACACACCGGATCACACACCAGATCACACACAGGCTCACACACAGGCTCACACACCAGCTCACACACCAGCTCACACACCGGATCACACACCGGATCACACACCGGATCACACACCAGCTCACACACCCGATCACACACCGGATCACACACCGGATCACACACCGGATCACACACCGGCTCACACACCGGCTCACACACCGGCTCACACACCGGCTCACACACCGGCTCACACACCAGATCACACACCGGATCACACACCAGCTCACACACCAGCTCACACACACCCGATCACACACCCGATCACACACCCGATCACACACACCGGATCACACACCGGATGACACACCAGCTCACATACACCCGATCACACACCAGCTCACACACACCCGATCACACACCAGCT